TTGTTATCCCTACAGTATTCCAAACGGCCCTTACAAATTTACATATTGGCAAAGGCTTCTATTGCTAGCGGCTGGGGTTTGGAGAGCAGGTGTTACAACAGACAATTTGGCCAGCATCAATCAGAATCTAGGCTGGGAAACTACTAGAGATACACATGTCAACTGTACCTTTTTCTGTCCAGTAATTTCATGTTTTGGGGTTTAATTCCGTAGATACAGCCTGTCTTCATCCTTGATTGTACATCCTAGCCATTTACTTATGGTGCTTGCGACAGAAGAGGTGGACTCGAAATGCTGTGGGCAATTTTCAACATCGTGACATATATCAAGGACATTTAAACCCCCATAAGTTTCTTCCTTAGCGCAGTCTTCAAGAAGTCAAGGGTTTGTGACGCAAAAGCCACTTGAGGTACACTAGGCGAAATGAAGTCATCCGGTAAAAACTAAAATATCATTAAATCTATGCCTATTGAAATGGGATGAGAAAATTAGGCCACTGGTGAAAAAAAGAATTCATAGAATTCATGCATTTTACGCCTATAAATGCTGAAGTAGAATTTAACTTCTTACACGGTATACTAAGGAGCGATTGACAGACTGAAATGAAACATTATTTTCTTCTTCTTTGATACAAAGGTAGGAAGGGAGTAAGCACATTTCTTGCCGCAAGAGAGGTCACTTTCGAATGTAAAAAAATCCCCCCGTGTTGGTAATTTGATAAGTCAACTGTAGTCACTAAGTGCACCCAAGGCATTTAACAGAAAAGCTTGGTTCATCTTTTGTTATTCAAAATCCTATGATATTTTGTACAACGGAGCAGTGCAAAGCATTCCTAAAACGCCTCATGTTGACCACACAAAATATTATTATGTAAATCAGTCTACTTACGGTTAATGTAAGTACACTGAAGGCGATATGCCGAGTTCTTCTACCGAAAGTCTCTCAGAGCTAAGGGCTTATCACGTGATGCAGGCCTACCCACAAACATCGATCATCACCATGCCAGGCCTCAAGTCTTCCGTTAAACAAAATAAACCCCAAATCTTTGACTCTCCTTCTGTAATTTTTTTGCTGATCTCCATGATATCACTCAGTCGATTTTTGGCGTTATTTTCAGCGTGACGAATTCCGCGCTCGACTGAAATCTCGCACAGTAGTCGTTCGGAATTCACCAGAGGACGACTGAAGTGGTTTGACGTTTAGTTGTCAAACGCGGAAGGTAGTCCCGGTGGGATAGAATCCATCTGCCGCGCATCCAGACACCCTAGGCTATAGGCATTTTCTTGCGCGTGAAATATTGTTCACTTTCTGGTGATAATGACAAAACACCAAAGGCGATAAACAGGACAAACTGCCTTGTGTATCGAGTTGCACAAAGCCATTATCGAGTTGAAAATATAAGCAATACATCTGGGACACTGTTTGGATATGAACGCCATCAAGCATCCATGTTTTGTTCGATGCAACTGTTAAATTTGTACCATTATAATGTAAACATTTAGTGTCTTGAAATGACTACAATTATATGCCTTCTTATGAATTTGGCAGTCGTTCGATAGATTTCACGTATTGATAATTTCGTTTTTAATATATTTTTAGTTCTTTCATACTCTGTCTAACAATAGTTAGAGAAGTAACAAGTTGAAGTTGATTTAAACGTCATAATAACAAGGGGTGAGCTGCCAATGTATCATTAACATTATTTCTGTATTCAGAAAAAGCAGTGACCGTGAATTTCAGGCTATCGGTGAATTGAAGATTATTCGGCTTTTAGTGGGACAACCATTCTCAGGTCGGAGTATAGGTCAATTGGCGTTCAGGTTTCATACACTATGTCTGAAATAGGGACTAGAGCATAAGGACAGCAGGAGGTCCTTTGGGATCAATCACAGCTTCCGGTTTTATCACATTATTTTTCTTTTCACGAAATCATACATAAGGAAAGCAAAGGAGGAAAAGGTGCGCCACATTGATCAGTTTCTGGCTTATGTGTGTCTGTCTCGATACTTTTACAATCATATGTTGGTGCATAGTTGTCCCTTGCTTGCACTAGTTTATTAATTAAGAGAAAAGATTTCTTCACTTAAGATAAACACCAAGTCTTGGCTAGTCCACACTTCGCTCGGGTTCATCATCTTAGATATTTCAGTCGTCATTTGTTTCCAATTACAATGCGCCCTGTGTAAGGCGAATCAAACACAAAACACACGATGCGGTTTCCCACTGTGTATTGTAATACATTCTACAAGTACTGTTTCCCTCTGGAAAATTGTTCGTAAACAAACTGATGAAAGAAGTCATTGGAGTCTTCAAGAATACAAGATTTGTTTTAGCAAATGATTACTCTGCACAGGGATAGCGTTTGATGACAAACTCAAAATTGTACAGCAATGCAAAATTCTCACGTGGTAATCGTGTTTGAAAATGGTCAGTGACCGTAAGATTGTCTAGGCCTTTAAACTGTTTATAGAAACTTACCCATTCAGTATTTGTCCAATTTGATTCCTAAACAGTCCTTCGTTCTCCAATTCTGATAAAATTTTGCACACATTCCACGTGCAGGGATTGGCCCCGCTAATAACTTAACAATTATGTTAACACAGTGAACAAAGAAGCCTTGAAGAAAATGCAATCTCTGTCAGAGCAATGATTTCATGATTGTCCCCCTCCCCCCAAGAGGGAAAACATCACCTTTCAAACAAAGCTCTGCAATTTAGTCAACAGTAATTATCCAACAAGAAAAAAATATTCTGGTAGAACCAGTATTGGTACAGATGTCACGACAAAAGTATCAAGGAGTACCTTGAACACAGCTGAGGTAAAGAATGTTTGTATTATAATACTATGGGTTATTATGATTGTTAGTCAATGCATAAGCTAATGAGGATTACAAGCCATTATCTACATGAAAAAGATCCATCATGTAAAAGGACTAGACCCAGACACACCTGCCAATTAAGTTGATTATACTTTGTATGAATGCATTTGGTTAACAAGCAAGACTTTATCTATGATGATGTGAATATGGATCGGACAAATGGTTGCATAATGCACCACCGGTGTGCGACCTACCGATGAACCCACCTCGGCTTTACTGAACGTTTGTTTTCCTCCGTGAATCATTTCAGCTAATATATTGCTCATACCAAATTGCTTCGGTAAATTTACCTTCTATAAAGATATTTAGGTATCAGTCCTATACGTCTCTCATGTGCATAGATGCTTAAAAATTCTCTGGCGTTTGGAATGGTTGAGTGTCATTTTGTCTTCCCAAAATGGACAATTGACGACAAAAATTCTTTCAAATGCAAATTCTTTTCTCTGTCCTGAGGATGATTAGAAGATAAGTCATGGATTTTGGAGCTGTAATTTAGTAGGGAAATGAACCCCACAAAATTTCTTTAACATTTTCCTGAAGTCTTCACATGAACGCATGGATGGATGCACAGTCTATAAGAAGACATCATCGTGGGAACAATCACCCTGTACGTTTTGAAAAAGGCAAAATTCAGTCACCAGACTGAAAAAGTAACGACGAGCTGTCAAATGTTAGACGAATCAGCTTCAATTTTTTAATTTTGATGCACCAATATTTGCTATTTGACATTTATTATCGTATTGAAAACAAATCCGACATCCAAAGCGATTCCCAAAGGCTGTTCTGATAAGCTTCAAATTTTGAATTTTATTTTAAATTTGAATTTTATTTTAAACAAATTTGTTTTATATCATGGATGCAGCACTACCTGGAAAGATGATAACTTAATTTACAATATTTAAATGAGGTAGAAACCGGTACACGTCTTTCATAGGTTGGCCATAAAATGTATTTCTCAATTGCCAAATGTATTGTAAACTCTGAATAAAAAATATTTACTGCTGAATTTTTATCGACTCTTTCAATATTAGGCAACCATATGTCTGAAAAATCGATTCGTGTTTATCAACAACTTGGAGCTCCTCACAAAGTATGAGCAAACACATGTTCAATCTAATTTAGATATCTTTTGAAACGCTCCGTCGCAAAGTACTGACAGTCTCTAGTAAAGTTATTGGGAAGTGATTGGCGGGCTGTGCGTGAATCCGATATTTTCAGTCAAAATGATTTTACATTAGTGCTCCTTGATATCGTCCGGTTGCCGAGTGAGTTCATCACTCATCGAGGAATTCCTTGCTTCAGGCAAAACACCTTTGTCACTTAAATTGATGAGGACTTCTGCAGTGTATTGGAGGGAGACCTGAACAATTTCATTAGCTACATCTGCGAGGGTAACTTAGGAAAATAAAGGTGGGAAATCTAACGACTCCAGAGAGTATGACAGTATATAGTAACAGTGTAACGTCGCATCCCTAAGTCTGTGTGGCGGATAAAAACGAAGACGAACTACCCGTAAGAGCAGACGTTGGTATCTGCAGCTGATCCCAGTAGATGTGATATATGTTCTTTTTAATTCCATCCGTTGCTGTACACACAACAAGAGTTTGGGTTCAGTTTGACAGCAGTCAACCTCCGTCTTTATGGTATTGGAATAAGTTGGTCTTTGACGAGTCTTTTAGTTTGAAGATTAACTTTTTTGTTATCTGGTGTTAAGTCCAGTAACGAGAAACAAAAAAATGACGCATGACAATAAAACAAGTTATATTCTAAAGGGAAAGAAACCTACAACAACCTTATATTCTGATATTTATAACCTGATATTTCTGCCGCGCATTATTCAGGTACGTAGTTCTTTTCAGGAAGAATTATCACTACCGAGGTGTTACGTCTTGTTTTGTGCGAATTCCAACTAGCAGCTGCATACCTCTCGCAATAAAGTTGGGAAGAAATCAAAACTGGTTCTCGGTGTATCGGAGTGAAGGTTAGAACAGAAGGCCCATTACTGTCTTCTTTCATACGTCAAACACGTTCTTCATATTACAAGGAAATCTTTTCTTATTCAAGCTTATGTAACCTTGCTTTAAGAAACAGTTATCATTTCGTCTTTTCTTCTGCACTGCAGGTCACAATGAATAATTGGCCTAGTGTTGCCATAGCAACAGTTACGTGCCTTTTGCTTTCGCCAATCGCGTGCCTGCCTCTTCGTGACGTAGCTGATGGCAACGACAGGCGGGAACGACTGAACACGTGGTTAGACCCCTCCGATGCTATGACAAATCAGGGTTCCAAAGAGCTGGCAGAATCGGCCAAGTCAATGTTACTGGATAAGCCAAGGGACTCGGGTTCCGTGCTGGATTTACTGCTAGCTCTGCAAGACCCAAACAACCCTGGCGATCATGAAGGGTTCCTACGCAAACAACGACAGTCCAAAGTGGACGACTACGGTCACGGTATGTTCTGGGGGAAAAGAGGTACTTGGCTACATCATGATGAAAGGAAGAGTGGCAGAGCTGATCAACAAAGCAAGAGGGCACATGATGAGTATGGCTTCGGTCTATTCTTTGGCAAGAGAGATGGTGCAGATTACGATGACTTCACATTGTAAATTATCTGACGAATAATTCAAACAAATGAGGAGCACACAAAGCTTACTTGTTTCATTGAAGGTTACCAATATAAATTGACCCCAAGCCCTTTCGTGAGGAAAGAGAATTTTGGATTTTTATGCATTAGAAATTTGATTTAGGCCTATGAAAAGGAGCATGTATTTTCAGTTATCATGATATTCACGTTTCAAGGGGAAATCTTCAAATTTGATAAACATTGTCTAGCTTCACCGATTGAAATTGGACTTCCTTTGTTCTATTTCGTCGCTGTTTTGAATCGATTGTTGTGTTATTTCGACTATGCAGGGTTTGGACAGGTTGCGTGGATTCCACAACTGTGCTATTGACATTCACGTCATGCGCTAATTTCATGCCAAAAACAAGAGCTCTTTTTTTATGAAATAAAAGCTATTCAAAGAGAATTTTGCTTTTCTTTGCGGAGTAGGTCTGTTGTATTATACATTGCAAATGAAATGTATGAGAAAAGTGTTTTAAGTTTGAAATTTGATCGAATTATCATTTAAGGCACTAATGTATGGACTTCACTCTCTCCTATGAATAAACTACGTATGTATTGTTGTATACGATCTTCTATGTTTAAATAGAATAATATTCAGATAGGATTGAAATTGTTCACTTTAAGGGGCGCACTTTCCGCCCAATCTTGGACTCTTTTCAGCATTGAAAGACAAAAGCTTGTAGACTTACAACAGAAATTAATAGCCGACCATGAAGGATGAGGGTTTACTCTCACTCAAAAACAACGCAAAACATGGTTTGTGGGTGGCACGCGCCACATTTATTGTAGCTGTCATTTCCGGGGAGTTCGGGCTCATTGTCTTAATAACAATTATTGGCTATGGGACACCTGCAAATAATTATAACATTTCGACTGGCGCTTACAACCTTGGAAGTAATGAGCTGAGGTGTGATGATATCACACTGTGTTTACTGATACAGGTGGGGACACACCAAAAGATAATTAAGTCCTTTACGGCATATGTTTTCGGTTTCAGGGCAAACTGGATATTACTTTGATGGAATATATATGAACATTATTGTATAAATATGTTTTAAACTAAACAAACCCACTGCTGTCGCTTAATAAAAATATTGAAATAGATGCACGATTTGTTAGCAGTTTTTGCCCAGTATAAAGCACGCTTAGTGACAAACCAGCACTTGTAGCATATAAGTAACCTAAGGTAAAAGTTAGCCACAAAATCAGACCTGACATTATAAAAATGCCTGCCCGTGAACATGATGACCTTGTAAAGTGACACAGTGACGTCTGCAGAATATTCTAGTATCGTCATTTTTCCACAACTTTTTATCAGTATTTGTTTTAGATATTTAGATTGCTAGTGAATTCAGATGTTCTTGATGTTATGCTATATTGTTACCTTTCAAGTATTATTCGCAAATGCAAAAGGATGCGACAGTTTCATGTTCGATTAAAGCCTTTGTACAAAGCAATGCACAAGCAAACTCATTCAATTAAATAATCGATTCCCAAAGCCTTTAACCTTGTCTTTCTTACTGTTTTTTTATGCTAATACGTATTTATAAAGAGTTATACATCGCAGTCTTCGACATTTTGGCACAAAAGGATAAAATTAGGTCAAATTTTACCAAACAGCCATCTTGCTGAATTTTAACTTCATAATTTCTATTCATGATTTGATTTCAAATTATTTGATGTTAATTTTATCGAATAATTCGACTGATTTCGTTCTCTTACATTACACATTGAAAATGCTTCAGTTCTGATCAGTAGTAAATACGGGTCAGATAGTTATCAATTGCAACTGAGGCCGGCTGGTACCCCGACTGAAAGTAAGCACACATCCTGACAATAATAGGCCTATACTGCTAACCAGTGAATTGCTTATGATGTACGTGCTACTTTCGTATTTGAAATCAACAATTAATTAGCCAACAACTTCATCTGTGAAGGTTATGCAAAATACGAGTCGCTGACGCATTTCATCCATTTGACGTTACATTTCGTTTTCATTTTGTTACTTTACACAAGACTTTTTAAAGTGTATTTATGGATTTAGGTTGGCATGTAAGTTCGTTAATTTCTGAAAATCCCCACCCTCAGCACTTTTTCCCACCCCCGGGAAAACGACATTCCCTAAGATTCTGTTACAAACTTTATCTTGCCCACATCTTGAGAAACTGAACAATACCAAATTAAACACGAAATCACCTAATATTATATACTGGTACCATTCGTTCTAAACGTCTCTACCCTATTCAACTTTTATTCAAAATAGGTAAAATCCTCTAAAAACACCAGAAGTTTGATTATAAAAATGAACATGAAAAAGCCCAAAAGTGTTGTGAAGTGAAACCCATCCGCACGACCTGCACATCTCAGAAATTATACCTTAAGACCTTCATATTATTTATGAACTAAAGAATCAGAAGGATCAAGTGTATACGGCTCCGTCGTTCTTTATTATGAGAGCAATTCTTTAAGATATTTTGATGATGGTATTGAGAATGATAAACTTGCATTGGTTTCCTGCAGTCTCGATTTAAGATCGTGCCCCATCGGTTGTTATTACTCCTAGTCTTTGAAATCAGCCGTGGGTTTGGATTGATGACTTCATATTCTCGGAAGTCAACGCTATTACCTTGGACACAATACGGCGCTTTTACAAGATTAAATCCCTCTACTACTTTGCTCTTCGAAAAAAGTTAACATTGTCAGTACTAAACCCGACGGAAAGACCTACGTCACGCCACTCGACGCTGCCCATCGAAACACCGGTGATGTCTTCCCAGGCTGTAGTTCGAAACGTGTTCTTGAATGAGAAACCATGCCACACTGCTGAATGACGAATCATTCGTGGGGGGGGGCTCTGTCTTCAAATTCAGGGTCATTTGTACATCTCAAGATATCGTAATCTAATGAATTATGGATTATTAAATATCATGGTTTTGTTTCGTATTTATAACTATCAGCATATCGACTGAACACGAAGCTCTATGAGCAGCTAGATTTGTGAGAGAATAATTAGAGAACAATCAGAGATATAAAATAAATCTCGAAACAAACCACTAGCAGTAGATACGAAAATCTGATAGTGTGTGACATGCTGGTTAATATTGCAAAAAAGGGACTCAGATTAGAAACGCTTTTGGGAAAATCTTAATACTTGAGGAAAAATGTAAGGTTGAAATAACTGTGAAAAAAATTGCTTAGAGAGTGTAACTAAAAAAAGTACAGAAATTCAGACTCACAAATCCTCGGTTATAACCAACAACAGATTACCGACGCTGTGTAGTATGGAATAAAATCATATGCCGCGTTGAGTATGCACAAATCTTTTGTCAATTTTTCAATCAAGAGTCAGGACCACATACAGCATTGCTGTTTCTCATCAGACAGGACCGATTCATGCAGCATAATTCTCTTAAAATATTGTACATTTCAAAAGCAGCCTATTCAAATAATGCATTGAGATAACGACAAAGTGTTTGTACTTGTGTAATGTTGAAGGCATCGGTCAAAGTAGGCCCTACATTCAGCAGACAAGGAAACAACCATTATAATGTAACAGCAGGCCTATGCGTTATTCAGCCAGGTATTGATATCGCATTCATTGTCTTTCAAACCACCGTCTTATATAAATGATGTAAGAAATCAGCCCTCCTTTACTTCCTTGTTTCAGTAATACACTCTAAAAACACCTGGGTGAGACTTTAAAGCCAGAATCTGGGTCCCATGGGGCCTGACCCTTTCCCCCGTTGGGTCAAATTTGACCATTTCCGTGTAAAGTATGACCCAAAACAGGTCATAATTTGACCCAGGAAAGGGTTAGGGCCCGTGGGACCCAGATCCCGGGTCAGTCTGACCCAGGTGTTTTTAGAGTGCATCCTTTTATCTTTTTTTTTAGTTGTTTGTCTGTCCACCGACTACCAGCAGATGTCTGCATGTTTGCTTTTCTTGCCTCAACATCTTCTTTACTTCATGCTGTTAGTCTCATGGAAACATAAGACTTTCAAATGAGAGAATTGCCTTAAATCGTCAGGTGCGTCTCTGACCGACGTCCCTTCCAAATCAATTAAGCTGCAAACTTCTTCGGGCCGTTGAATAATCAACGTCCAGACTTGGAACATTGAGGCTGGCACTTAGTGGCTTCCCATGAGAGAAAATGTGCACCCTCTTTGACGGATGTGATTGGAAATCTACATGGCCGCAGGCATGTGCCTACATTAATCACATCATAAGTGACTTTAATAAGACCGCATTATAAGTACTCACACCAAATGCCGATTTTCAGGAAGTGTTTTTGTCAATTTAAAAGCACTGGAGTAATGGTAGGGTTCCATGTTTGATTTAAGTGGTAATCCAATGGAGTCTTTGAAATTAACACGTTCCAGTAGCTTGGCCATTTCCACGTTTTACAATGAAAGCAATTTCGAATGTTGACTAGTGACGTGCAATCGACTTCTATGCATTAACCAACACGGTCTTGGTTATCTACACTGAACCTAATTCCGGAACAAACTGCATTTGGAACATTCTGACGCTGGAAGTGATTTTGTAGAATCACGTTAAAACGTATAGACGCACCGTGACGTCACGTCAACTCACTCAGTATCACACTGGAGAAAGAAAACGCAGCTTTGATTTTGCACCTACACAACAGCACCAGTTAGCTGGTTTTGAAGATGTTCCTAAAATAAACGTCTTCTGCAGACTTCACGAAAGTATTACAATATCGTTCAAATCAGAACACAGCGTTTACTTTGAATCATTTTCCCTATATAGGCACAGGGGCGGAGCTTAAACTAAATTTCGTTGCAGGGACAATTTCTCAGGGGGGCCAAACAATTTTCAAAGTCCTTAGTTTTGTAAACACTTTGGGAAGGAAACGAGTCCTGTTACCCACGAAATTGCCTTTTTTTCACACTATGCATCAAAAACTTTGCCCATTTGGAGGATGGGCGTGTCCCCCGTTGCTCTCTTCTTGGAACAAAATTATTTCTTAGTGTTACAGAGGCATCCAGGACTTGTCGAGGAATCCACTCAAAACCTGAAGAACTTCAAAAAAACTTCTGGTTTTGTCAGTTGGACATTTGCCAACAATCTGTCTCTTCTTTGCCCGTCAGGGGGCGTTTCTGTAGCCAGAAAAGATCAAAGCCGTGTATATATAGTTACGACTATAATAGTTGGAAGTAAAGTGACCGGTGTAAGTTAGTTTGTTTCTGGATTCAATTGGGGACCCTGAACAATAGAGGACAATAAGGTCCCCGATTGACAGAGGGTCCCCGATTGACAACTGTGTACAAAACATATGGGTGGTCTTCTAAAAAAGTGCAAACAAAAGAGGAACAACAGGTGGTCCCCAGTTGCAGGCAAATACACACTTGTGTGTGTGCGTCAGTGTATATGGACAGTTGGTGTACAAGAGCCACACGCTCTACTCTACACGTAGTGGACAACCATTTTGTTTCCAAAATTTGAAGCTGGTGCTTATCTCTCTACAAATACAGCTCTGGAGCGCATACTTTCTAAATCGGAGTATCTGAGTGAGGGGATGTTCGAGATATGAATTCTTTGGGCAGCAACCCCTCAACAGCAGCGATCTTCCTATTTTTAAGGCTTAACAGAAGTAATGATCATCCGGGGATTCATCCTCGGTTTTTTCGTGGTGCCCCTTAACACCCCCAGATGCCCCCCCCCCCGACATTTAGCCCTAGTTACGCCACTGCAAGAAAATAAGCTGCAACTCCATACCGTAACTGTATAAACTCAACGGGGATTATTTATAGATTTAAAATGGCAAGGGGGCACCCAGGAGCAAAGGCATCCGCTGGGGGATGTTCCCCCACCCCCTCCCATAGTCATTCCACCGGGTGTACCATTTAAAACTCTTTGATATCTGTACGAATATATTTTACATTCACGCTAACGTAAATCCACATTTTGAAAGTAATCTTTATAAACAACGTATGCCGAGATGAATGCTACAGCAAAACAAGTTGTTTTCCCGAGTTACTATAGACATAAAGACGAGTTATACCGCGTGAGCAAAGAAAAGTGTTTTGTGAGGAGATGTTTCAGAGCAGTTCGTTATGTTACGCCATCATTTGTTACATCGGTGAAGGCTAAGTTTTACTATCGACGAAGGATGTCACTTAACAGTACACCACACTTTTCATGCAAACACCTTACAATGTGGCAATGTAGCACACATCTGAGAGAATAAAGCACAACCTGCTAAGATCTCCTTACTCATGTAATTTGTTTACTCTGAAACCGCAGCAATGTCCTTAGTTATACCGATCTTCTATCCAAGTTATTCCAGGACGGGCAGATGTGTATCGGGGGGAGGAGTCGCACCCCCCCCCCACTTTGAGACAAAAAAGGTAATAGAAATAGGGAAGATGATAAAACAATAACTAAAGTGTACAAAGGCAAGTGCACCAATACCATTGTAAACAATGTATGCCATGTTATGTTTCATTATCGTTCCCGCCGCAAAACTTAGACATTAATAAAAG